AAACAAAATATCCAAACAACAAAACCAAGTGAGCAGGCTGGCTATGGTGGAATAAGCCTGTAAGCTGGGTGCTGCGGAGGTAGCGGCCTGCAGGCCTAATAGCAAGTTCCTGGCCTGCCAGTGAGGTACTATGAGACCCTGCCTCAAAACAAAACAAATAAAAACAACAAAAACAACGTTGATAACAAACAAACCCAAGTAAGCAAAGAAACCCTTCTGGCACTGACCTAGCTTTCAAATCTCCCAAATCCTTGTCATTTGGCGCTCATGATGACATTTTTCTCTTTAAAGAGTTTATTGATTTTCTGATATTTCATTTTGTTTTCAAGATAGGCTTTCTCTTTATAGCTTTGGAGCTTGTCCTGGCACTATGTAGACCAGGCTGGCCTTGAACTCATAGAGTTCAGCCTGCCTTTGCCTCCTGAGTCCTGGGATTAAAGGTGTGTACCATCACTGCCTAGTAAGTTTACTGATTTTCTTAAAGTTGATACATGCTTACAGGAAAAAAAAATGAAATTATATAGAAAAACCTATCTTGAAAAACAAAAAAAGTCTAAAAGTAAAATTCAAAATTTATATTACCAGGACGTAACCATAATTAGCATGTTTCTCAAACACCTCCTTTTGCACATATACATGGAGAGATACGCTTATTTTAAAAGTTCATATAAAGCCTTGATATGACTCAGTTGGTAAAGGTGCCTGCCTTTAAGCATGATGGATGACCTGACTTCAATCCCTGGGATCTATGTGGTAGGTGAAAATTGGCTCCTGCAAATTATCCTCTGCCCTTCACACATGTACTGTGCCGTTCACAACCTGTGCCATTCGTGACCCCCCAAATAAACAAGTAAAAAGTTCATGAAATACATGCTAAATTTATTAGTGCTTAGGTCACTTGTGCCTGTGGGTGGGTGCATGGCTGGATATGGAGGCCAGAGGACAACCTTTGGGATCAATTATCTCATTCTATCATATGGGTCTCTGGGATCCAATTCCAGTCATCAGGAGTGAAGGTAGGAGGAAGGCATCTTTATTCGCTAAGCTATCTCAGCCCAAATTGTTACTAAATTTAAGGAAGAAAATGAAGAAGAAACACAATGAAGGAGTTGCCAAACTTCAGTTAAATGTTCTTTGCAAAAACATATTATTTCCTATAGCTTCCTTTGAAGTGTTGCATAAAGATTATAAAAAAAGCATTAGGGCTAAAGGTCCACCTTCATGATTAGCTCTTGAAAAGTCATGCACTTAGGAAGCAAAGTCAGGCAGATGTTTGTGAGCTTGAGGCCAGATTGGTCTATATAGTGAGTTCCAGGCCAACCAGGACACACACACACAGAGCGAGTGAAAGAGAGACAGACAGAGATAGAGAGATGGGGATGCATGGGGGGGGTGGGGAGATTAAAAAACTGAGGGAAGGATGAAAAAATGGAAGGTAGTGTGGGGAGAATATATATTTCCCAGAAAATGGCCTTATGTAGTCCTATATAATACAAGAAATCATTTTAAGTAACTGAGACAAGAGCAGAGACAGCTTTCATTGCCCACATGCAGCTTTTATTTGGATACTAGAACTGCTTCATATTCAGAAGAAAGCGACAATATTTGAGTGTCTTTATTAACTGTAAGAGGTTTGAGAGGACCCTGCATTTAAGGCTTGATTCCTTTTTCTGCTGTGTGTGGGGAAGGTTCTCCTTAGAAAACAAGCTTTGAGAATAGACTGCCTGGATTTGACACTTTAGAGTGCTTAGGTATCAGTCAGATCAAGCCCTCAGCTTCTCCTCGGGGAAAAAAGAAGTCAATAGTGTCTTCCTTACCTAATTATTGAGAGAAATATGGCCAGGCAGTGGTGGTATAAATCCTTAACCCCAGCACTCCTGAGACAGAGGCAGGCAGATCGCTGTGAATTCCCGAACAGCTAGGGCTCTACTCTGTCTTCAAAATACCAGGGCAGGGAAGGGGAAGACATATGCAGGACAATATATCAATATACAGACAGTTCTTGTTTATTACATGTAAGTTATTATTATACCGAGGAATAACAGTACATGTGTGGAGGTCGGGGAACACCCTGGGGGAGTCAGTTCTCTCCATGTGGGTCCTTGGGGTGCAACTCAGATGGACAGGCTTGGAGGCAAGCACCTTCACCCACCGAGCTACCCTGCTAGTCCTAGACATCAATTCTAACCTAAGCAGTGCATCTGATTGCATATAGTATTTTGGCCAATTAATTAATTTCAGGTTTAGGTTTAGAGCACAGTAGCAGAATACTTGCTTATCATCGGTGAGACCCTGGGCTCAATCCCCAGTACTAAAACCAGACCAAACCCTTTCATTGATTTCCTGAAGAGGTAGCCCAGGCTGGATTCCAACTCTCCAACTCTCCAGCCTCCACCCCCAGAGTCCTGTGATTAGAGGTGTTCAGGACCACACCTGGCCAGCAACTTGATTTATGCATATGTGTGCACATGTTCCTGTACGTATGTGTACACAGGTGTGGAGGCCAGAGGTCATTGTCAGATGGCTTCCTCAATTGCCCTCTACTTCATGTCTGAGACAGGCTCTTTCACTGAATCTAAAGCTTGCAGATTTGGCTGGTCATTAAGTCCCAGATAGCCTCACGTTTCTGTCTAGGTAGTGCTGGGATTATAGGGGTTGGGGGTCCAACTCAGGTCTACACTTTAGTGACTGAGTTCTCTCCCCAGCCTCTGCAATTTGGTCATTTTAAATGATAGTTAGCTTGTCCATCAATGAAGGCAATACGGGTAATAGAGAAGATGTATTCACTTAACTGTGTACTTTAATCCTGCTGTTTTACTGGATTAGTTAGATTTAAAAAAATGTCTCTTCCACAGAATACTAAGTACAATCAGCATGGATGAACTATATACTATATGTGAACAATAGGTTAAAATTACTTAAATTTAAATAGGATTCTGAAACCATACATTATGTTCATCTCTGTCTTCTTGTTAGCGTGGTTCATAGCATACAAATGCAGCAAAATGTTGACCCAATGATACCATCATTTCAATTTGCAATGCCTTTGCCTTAAGAGTCTTCTAACAGTGTCGTACCTGAGCCTAAACCAGGTCAGTGAGATGATCTTTAAAGCGGCAGTCTAAATTCTTTGGTGGGACTGAAATGTGCCTTTTACTATTTCATTTACCTACCAGATATGAACACACCCAGATATTCTTTTTAACCACAGCCTAGAGTTTGGAAATTGTTTTCTGCACAAAGCCTTTGTTGTATCTTTTTAAGAGGATGTGTGCATGTGTGTGTGTGCGTGCGTGTGTTTGTAACAGGATTTGACCTGTAACTATCACTGAGAATTTTCTTAGAGAAGTTCAAAGCATTTTACAGGGATCATCTCATTTATCCTTCGAAAGTAAAGCAGAGGCATTTATCTCCGCTATGGACTGAACACTAAAAGGCCAAGAGAGGCGGGGTTTTTGTTGTTGTTTTGCTAAGATCAAAAAGTAATTCTAGGGCAAAGCCAGATTCTGGTCTGACCTTGTTACATGATGCTTCTGCAGCTCTGTAGCTCCACGCAAGGGCTTTGCTTGTTCTCCCCTTGGCTATGCCAGGCTTTGAATGATTCTCAGAATCAATGTCTCATTTGTTCCTGCTTCTTAAAAAATGGCTGTTAAGATGTCAGCACAAAAGAAAACTCTCCAATCATTCTTGGACTGTTCGGGTTGTTTCCAAGAGAGAATCTTCCTATGGACCTTCGGCTGGTGTGAAATTTGCCGTGTAGACCAGGCTGACATTGAAACCGTGCTTTCACTGCTTCCCGAAGTGCTGTCATTATAGGTGTGTGCCACCACACCTTGTCTCTTACACAGATTTCAGGAAGAGAAACACTCAGCTTCCTTTTTTTGGTCTCCATCTGTAGTCCTGGCTGGCCTGGGCTCACAGAGATCTGCCTGTCTCTGGCTCCCCAGTGCTGGGATTAAAACCATGCTCCACCAAGGCAGGCTCGTCCAACTCTTGCTATGTAGCCCAGAAATAACATGAACCACAATTATAAGTCACACATATCTTGAATTTTCTAACAATCACACTAAATATACTGAATTCATTCCGGTATGTCTAGGTGACTAACAATTCCTATGCAGTATACAATTATGTAAGATATTTCATTCCCTTTCTTGTCTAACTTTTCAAAACCAACTGTGTGTTTGACTTTTGCTTATAGCATACTTGAATCTGGAGAAACTGCCTTTCATACACACAGATGTCACCTGTGATTAAAGTAGACCAACTCTGACCATGTTGGACAGCACGGGTCTAACCTTCTGAAACTTTCAGATTGGTTCAGGTGAACCCAGTGGTGGTACTCTTGGAGAATCAACTTGCCCTATGTAATGACTGCTTAAGAGCCCTAGATCTGATGTGCTGCTTGGTGTGTGAACTATGGACTCAGGATCTAGTAGGTTACTTTTCCCTCCCCAGGTATTGTTTAATTATACTGGTTCATATCCTTTGTGAGACCAAGGATGAGGATTGTTCCAACTTTTGGGTTGCAGTTTTATAAGAATCTGGTTTATGGCTTGTGGAAGGAAGGCATCACCTTGGGGTGAGGAATGCTCCCAGAACCAAAAGGCCAAGCAAGTAGGTGCCTCTTGAGGGCAGAGGTTCCACCTAGATGGTTCCTGAAGCCACAGGCGCCTCTTGTGGCTTAGGATGGGGACTTTCTGCAAACTTGTCAACACCCCCCCCCTTTGTTTAAAAAATTTGGACAGGATCTTTTTCTGTAGGCCAGGTGGGCCTTGAACTCATGGCCATCCTCCTGTCTTAGCCTCAGGACAGGATTACTGACAAACCACCAAGCTTGGTTCCTCGTTAGTCTTGAAGACATGTGCTTCAACCTGATGTTCCTGGTGCTCCAGAAGACGGGGATGTCAGCTCTCGAGTTGGGGTTCGCACCCCGAAAAGCAGGCGTGAGGGGCGGGTCCCGACCTGGGCCCGTGCCGCCCCATGTGACCCAGTCCGACTTGGTGTCGCTTCCTCTCGCGGAGGCGGCGTCGTCTTCTGCTCCGCTGCGCGTCGAACCGGCCCTGCGGCCGCTCATGGGCAGCCAGGGCCGCTCGGGTTCTCCCGGGAACCGCGGGCCCAGGGAAAGCGAGGGCGGGGAGGCGACGGTCGCGAGGGGAAAGCGAGGAAAGAGGAAGGGGAAAGCGGGCACCGGGCACGGCGGAAGAGGAAGCGGGGCGGAAGGGAAGCCGGGCCTGCAGCCGGCGAGGAAGACAGCGGGGCCGGGGGCTGAGGCGGGCCCCGGGCAGGAAGGAGAGGAAGGCGCAGGCGTGGAGGAAGGACCGAGAAGCTCCGGGAAGCGGGATGAGGAGAGCGCAGGCCCCGGGAAGGAGGAGGAACGGAGGCTCGGGGCCGAGCGGCGGGAGGACGACAGCCTGGAGAGAGCACGGGAGCGTGGGTGTCAGGCGTGGGGCGGCATCCCGGGGACCCGGACGGCCATGGCGGCGGCCGGCGACGAGGAGGCGGCGGCGGCGGC